AAAAAATCAGCCGGGCGTGGTAGCGTATGCCTGTAATTCTGGCTACTTGGAAGGCTGAGGTGGAAGGATCCCCGGAGCCCAGCAGGTTGAGACTGCAGTGGCTGGGAGTGGCCACTGCACTCTATTCTGGGCAACAGAGTGAGACTCCAACTCAAAAAAAAAAAAAAAAAATTTCTCCCTTTCATAAGGACACCAGTCACACTGGATTAGCGCTCACTCCCGTGGCCTCCCTTTAATGAGACCACTTCTCTAAAGACCCTATTTTCAAACAAAGTCACAATCTGAGGTACTGGGGGTTAGGACTCAATGTATTTTTAAAAATTAATTTATCTATTAAATATGGAATTAATTAAAAATTAATTTGGCTGGGTGTGGTGGCTCATGCCTGTAATCTCAGCACTTTGGGAGGCCAAGGCAGGAGGATTGCCTGAGCCCAGGTGTTTGGGCAACTTGGTGAGACCTCATCTCTATAATAAATTAAAAAATTAGCAGGGCATGGTGGTGTACACCTGTAGTTCCAGCTACTTGGAAGGCTGAGGCAGGAGGATTGCCTGAGCCCAGTAGGTTGAGGCTGTGTTGGCCGTGAGTGTGCCACTGCACTCCAGCCTGGGTGACAGAGGGAGACTCTGACTCAAAGAAATAAGACCGAAAAATAAAAATTAATGAAAATTAATTTATTGTAACTTTTTTTGAGTCAAAGTCTCACTCTGTTGCCCAGGCTGGTGTGCAGTGGCATCAAAATGGCTCACTGCAGTCCTGACCTCCTGGACTCAGGCAATCCTCCCACCTCAGTCTCCCAAGTAGCCGGGACTACAGGCATGTGCCACCATGCCTGGTCAGTTTTTAAATTTATTGTGGAAAAGAGATCTTGCTATGTTGCCCAGGCTGATCTCAAACTCCTGAGCTCAAACAATCCTCCGGCTTCAGCCTCCCAAGGAGCTGGGACTGTAAGCATCTGCCTGGCCAACATATCTTTGTGAGAGGACCTAAGCCAACCCACAACACTTTCCAAGCTGGGCTCCTGGCTCTTCTGGAAAGTCTCTGAGCCTCGCAGGATCCTTCGATCCACTCTTTCGATCCGCTCCTTCCCTGCTCAGAGCAGCCAGGAGTAATTTCTGTTCCTGCAGCAAGAATCTTGCCTGATTCTCGATGATGGGCCCTCCTTCTGCGATGTGCTTTATTTTCTCCTTATTATCATAAGTATAAGGATAGTTTATCTCTTTATAAGCTTTTACAGAGGGAGCCTGTGGAAGATCATATTTTCCAAGCTGATGGTAACAGTGTCTCCCATTCCCACATGCTCTTCTGTGATGTTGCCTGGTCATTCTCTTGTCAAGCAGAGGGGTGTCATCACCCGCCTTTGAATCTGGCCAACCTTAGTGACTCATTGGTCACTGAGCGAATGCCCTATAAGTGACACCGAATGACTTCCGGGGCAAGGTCAGAAGAAGCTCTCTCCGCCCTGGTCTTTGAAACACTGGCTCTCCAGACGCTGCCCTCTGGAGCCTGGCCGCCATGCCGAGAGGAAGCCCAAGCAGCCACACGGAGAGGCCAAAGGCAGGCCACTGGCCAGCAGTCCTAGCTGACAGGCAGCCTGATCTATCCTCCAGACACTTGAGTGAAGACGCCCAATTTCAGCCTCCAGCCTCGGAGCCAGCCTCAGCCTCTGGAGCCTTTCCATCTGAGGCCTCCTTCAGACATCACGAAGCAGACAAGCCCTCTCCACGGTGTCCCATCGTAACTCCCACTCGCAGGACTTGGGGGTTTAATCAAAGGGGGTGGTTCTCTTCCATCGAGCTGTTCTGCAGTCATGAGTCATGGGAACAGAGCCGCACAGTCTGTTCTTCTTTCCAGGGTGGATAGTTTTCCTTTGGATTTTCTCTCCCCTGGTCTCGGGGACCGTCCACACGCATTCATCCCTGCTAACAAATCATGTGGGTCTTCTCACATGGGTCCGATCTCTCCACGTTGATCTTGGGGTAGAACCAACCCAGTCAATAAACAGCCTGGGAAACCACTTGGCATGTGAGACTTGCAGGAAGCCAGATGGCTGTCTCTAGTGACAATCCAGGAAGCTTAAAAATAACTTCTATAGGCCAGTGTGATGGCTCACGCCTGTAATCCCAGCACTTTGGGAGGCCAAGCTGGGAGGATCACTTGAGGCCAAGAGTTTGAGACCAAACCAGCCGGGCGTGGTAGTGCGCGCCTGTAGTTCCAGCTACTCGGAAGGCTGAGGCGGAAGGATTGCCTGAGTCCAGCAAGCCAAGGCTGCGGTGGCCATGAGCGTGCCACTGCACTCCAGCCTGGGCAACACAGTGAGACTCCGACTCAAAAAAAAAAAAAATTGCATAAAGTTACCTTTAGGCTATAAGGTGTATATGAAACATAAATGAATTTCGTGTTTAGACTTGGGTCCCATCCCCAAAATATCTCATTACGTGTATGTAATTATTCCCAGCCCCAAAGCAATCTGAACTTTGAAACTCTCCTGGTCTCACACACCTCAGATCTGGACTATTCAACCCGCACCCGTGTTCCCGAGGCCTTACTTCTGTGTCCAGGCTGCCCTGGGCCTATGGGACCCTCTGCTTCCCGAGTCCTGCTGGAGACTCACTGTCCCAGCCTCCTTTGTTGTCAAGAACTGCTGCGCAGCCCAGGCTTCCCCCATCAGGGGCACCCACGTGAGACTTTGCCTTGGAAGCCATAGACACAGAGATTCAGGCATCACGTGGGGTGCGTCCGTGGTGAGTATGGCGGCCACACACCCCCTGACAACACATAAACTCCACAAGGGGAGAGATCTTTGGTCCCTTCTGTGTCGTCAGTGCCTGGCACACAGCAGGTGCTCAATAGCTGCTTGTTGAGTGAATGGATTAATGAATGCATGCATTAATCCCGTTCGCAAGTGGTCTGCCCTCATGATCTCATCACCTCCTGAGGCCTCATTTTGGAATGCCATCCCCTTGGGGGTTAGGATCTCAACATATGAATTCCAGGGGAGCCGAACTCGGTGGCTCAGCCTGTCATCCCGCGCCTTGGGAGGCTGAGGTGAGTGGATGGCCTGAGCCCGCGGGTTCGAGGCCCGCCTGGGCAACTTGGCAAGACCTCGTC